GCCCTCTGATAATGAAAAAGTAAAGAGTTAAAGAAACTCCTACTACAACCCAGTTCCAGTTGGTGGGGGGCGGGGCGGGGCGAGGGGGGGTGCTGGAGAGGACTGCATGGGGGTCCCCCTCCCGCAGAGCCCAGAAATGGGTCCCTCTGGTTCCCCAAAGCAGAGCTGTGCCCTCCCCATGCCCAGACATGTGTCTCCCCTCGTCCACAGAGCCCAGCCATAGAATCCGCTCGGCTAAGCTTTGTCCCACTGAGGGTCATGGTGCAGCCCTGCCCTTCCTCACCCTTTGCCAGAGCTGGGTCTCCTGGACCAACTCCCATCCCTGGGCGGATGAGGATCAAGCCCTGCAGCCAGAGCATGCAGAGTCTCCATCACCCTGGGCCAGACACTCGGCTCACTGCCAGCTGGAGAACCAGGCTCTGCAGAGTCCAGCGGCCCCAATTGGCAGCCAGATGCTCTGCAGCCCCAGTTCTGTGAGGAAAACATAAAATTCTGTGCAGAACATTAATTCCTCCCAGCAATAAAGACTTACAGAGCTGCAGCAGCACAGCTGAACTGGTGGAGCTGTGCTGCTGTGGTGCTTAGTAAAGATGTTACCTATGCCGTTGGGAGAACTTCTCCTGTTGGGGCAGATACTCCACTTCTCTGATAGGGGGTAGCTATGTCGACAGGATAAGCCCTCACATCGACATAGTGCTGTCTACACCAGGAGTTTGGTTAGTATAGCTACATAGCTCAGAGGTGTGGATTTTCCACACTCCTGAGAGATGTAGTTATAACGACATATGTTAGTAGTGCAAACCTAACCTCAGACTCTTAATGCCTCTGTTTTTGAAAATGTTAGCCTCTACACAGACAATAATCCATAAGAGTGCTATTGACAAAGGGTCAGAAGTGCTCATCCCCTTCTACAGCATGGAGGCAACCAAAGGAGCAGAAAATGCCCATATATAAGAGGTGGAAGGGGAAAGCCTAAGTTCCCGGGTTCCCCATCTTCCCGCAAACATACAGCAACACGAACTAGTACCGTATGGTTGGCATTCCATGAGTATTCAATGCAGAGAGGATATCCCAGAGAGGAAGTGCAAATGGGAAGCAGCCCCTTCACCCAGCATGCTTCCCTGACAAAGAGGCTTAAAATCTATGGCAAGCTGCCACAGAGGAGAAGGTTGCTTTATTTATATAGCAGCCAAAAATATATTGGGTGTTTCCTAGTCTGACCAGCATTGACTCTCCACAAAGGGAGTTGGAATGTGCAGCTGTGGTGAAGGAGCTGATCCCTTAGGAACTGCCCAGAAAAAGGGGAGAGGAATCTTAAAGAGCGTCCCTCCTTATGGATGTCTGCAGGACTGGAATTAGACCTATGTATAGAGGTTGGGAGCTATGTGCCCTTAACTGCTGCCTGTGTGAGGAGAGGCTGCAAACTTCTCCTCACAGAGGGGAGTATGAATCAGTAGTTCTGAAAGACTCAACCTTCGTGTCCTGACTACTTTTTGCTTCCTGAGGATTTTTCTGCAGCAGGGTGTTTAATGATAAGGCCTTTTCCTGTAGCCACATTGTAAGGTCTGAGCCTTTGTCTGTGGCCATATTAGGAGAGCAGCAGTCATAAGCTAAGAAGCAGAAAGTCACATCCTCATATTCCATCTAAATTACATTAAAACAGTGTAATATCAGGTTGTTAAGAAGTTGATCCTGTCCTAATAGTATCCACCATCACCAGATAAAGAAACAGATCTTAAGATGGTTACAGAAAACTTAGTTTGATAGCATTCTGTCTGTCAAGAAATCACTTAATAGTTGGGGTTGTGAAATCCTCATTTCTTTATTGTTTTGTCTTTATGGTCCTCCCTTCCCTATTGTGTATCTGTATGGTCTCTGTCTGGTTCTTTGTTTCTGTCTGTTGCATAACTAATTTTGCTAGGTGTAAATCAATTAAGGTGGTGGGATATAATTGGTGAAAGGATTGTTTTACAATATGTTAGGATTGGTTAGAAAATTATTCAGTAATATTTTAGTAAAATGATTGGTTAAGATACGACTAAGCAAGACTCAAGTTTCACTATATAAACTGGGGTCCAAAAGGAAGTTTTTTTGGAACCAACTCCAGGACACAGCCCCAAGATCAGAGCTGCCAGACCTCAACACTCTGCTAATGACACCGTGCAGAAGCTGGAGTCCCCCAGATGACCTGATCCTGACTGACCATCAAGAAAAATTCATCTGCCTTATTGGGAGTGGTGAGCATTGTATGCTTAGCATGTGCA